TCACTGGGCATGCTGGCATATGCCTATAACCCCAGCACTTGGGAGGCTGAGGCACGATGGCCCCAAGTTCAAAAGGCCAGCCTTGGCTACATAGTTATTTCAAGGACAGTCTGAACTACATAGCAAGACCCTGTCTCAAAAACATAAATATAAACAAAAACAAATCAAACAAAACAAAGCCTTAAGGGCCAGGGATTTAGCTCAGTGACACCGCTGCCTACCTCACAAGCTCCAGGTCCCAAGTTCGATCCCCAGTATTAAAAAAAAAAACCCAAAAATGAAGCCTTAAGTGGCAAGACCAGGAGCTGAGCCTGGGTCTAGAGCTCTGAACCATCTGCAGGGCAAATAAATTCAGAACCAGGCCACACAAAGTGGATAAGAAGGGGTCATCCTAGAGATTGAAATCTAAGGCCAAAGAAGCAAAGGACACTGGGGAGGAAGAGTCAGAAGAGAGGGAGGGAGGGAGAAAGGGGATGGTTATTAAGAGGCATATTAAGTCACAAGGGTCAGTTTGACATTGTCCTTCCTATTTAGTAGCTGCTCGGTAGCTGGCTGGTTCAGTAAGAGGTGGGGATAGAAGTCAGAGACTGGGAAGTCAAAGTGGGAACAGTGATTTTGCTGAGAGGTGAAAGAAGACGCAAGGACAGTTAGAGGGGACAAAAGCCCACTGTGTTGCCTCTGCTTGGTTTGGTCTGGGGGGGGGGGCACTTGTTCCAGCAGGGCAGCAGGAAAGGGCAGCCCAAGCCGCTCATCAGGCAGAGAAGCCTGTGTCTTACCAGGCCTGTTCCTTTCCTTGGCCCAGCTGGACCCCTTAAAAAATTGAGAACCTTGGTAAATGCTTCTCACTCTGAGGTGGAGGAAAATTGCTAGTGGATGATACGACATTGCTCAGTCCAGCCCACTGCCACTGCTGGAGTCATGGAAGACTTGGCTATAACCAGAGCAGGGCTGTGCTAGGCTGAGAGCCAGCCGGGGAGCCAGAAATCACTGCCCCAGAGAGAGATGCAGCCCTCTTAACTTGTGCATAAAGTTAAATTCCCTGAAAAGGAGTGTAAGGTAGATGTCTAATACTCATATTTATTTTTAAGAAGGATTTCTACTAATTAATTTTATGAGTTTTATTACAAAATGTATACTTAACAGGAAAATAAAATACCAATAAAGTATTGAGTTGGGTTTTTTTTCAGTACCAGGGATCAAACTTAGGACCTTGTGCTTGCCAGGCAGGTGCAGTGCCACTGAGCTACATCCCCAGCTTGAATTTTTAGTATTTATTGAGAGTTTATAATAAACATTGACATTTTCTTTCTTTCTTTTTTTTTTTTTTGGTACCGGGGATTGAACTCAGGTCCTTGCACTTGTAGGGCAGGCGGCATAACCACTGAGCTAAATCCCCAGCCCTACATTGACATTTTCAACATCAACTGTTTATAAAATGTAAAAAAGATGGAAATAAATTTCCATATAAACTAAAATGAAAATAAAAATAAAACTCTACAACAAAAATCTTTAATTTGCTTCCATTCTGACACATAAGGCAGTCTTCACTCGTGAAAACAGCTTGTTCTATACACAAATATTGCTTATAGTGATAGCATGTTTTGTTTTCCTGACTTTTTGTAGGACGTACTTTACATCTCACTGGCATTACACTTCTTTTAGGAGGTTCTTATTATATTATACAATGTATACTTAACAGGAAAATAAAATATCAGTAAATTAGAGTATTAAATTTTTAGAGTGTTTATAATATACACATCAGCATTTTCAACTGGTTTTTGTTCACAAAAATCTAAAAAATAACAGAAATAAATTCCTATATGAACTAAAATGAAAATAAAACTCAACAAGAAAATTTATCTTTAGGGCCAAGGATTTAGCTTAGTGGTGCTGCGCCTGCCTCACAAGTGCAAGGTCCTGAGTTTGACTCCCCGTACCAAAAAAAAAAAAAGAAAAAGGAAAATTATCCTTAGTTCAATTATGATACCTAAGGCAGTCTTCACACATGCGAACAGCATGTTCCATACACAAATATCGCTTGCAGTGATAGCATGTGCGTTTTGTTTTTCTATCTTTTTTTGTAGGACACACTTGACATCTTGCTGGTCTTGCTGTTTGGTTAGGAGGTTCTTGTGATGTTTCACCTGTCTGTTCATCAGTCTGCTCCAGGATTCTTTTGCAATCTTTGGGCTGATACATAATGTTCTTCCACTGTTGTAATTGATCTTTTATCAATTCTAGTCCCAATTCTCTAAGAAAATCCCTCTGTGATATTTTGCACTTGTTATTTTCTTTGTAAACTATGATACTGTTTATGCCTGACATGTTTAGGATCAAGTAAAACACAACCATTGGCCAACGCTTTGTGTTTCGAGAGACATCATACTCACTGCATAGCTCGTCAACAACATTTACTCCACATTTTGTTTTTTTGTAAAATGTGACGATTTCTGGCTTCATTCGTGTTGAGGATTCACTATCAATCTTATCATCATGGTGTAACGTTGACAGTATCAACACTACTTTGTTTTTCTTTGCCATATAAGAGGCCAATGTTATGTCTTTTTGAAATCCAAAGATTGTACTATACATTTCTCTATTGTGAATTTGCAACATTTTTTCAGGAATCTCTGCTTGGTTCTTGTGAATAATTCCCGTGCTGGTCAATTGGTGTTCTTTTAGCAAATGCAACATCAATGAGTAGCTAGTGAACCAACTGTCAAATGTGACATTTCGGTTACTTTTGGAAATAGGTGCCACAAGTCTACTAACAACATCATACGGTTTATTACTGCATGAATAAAGACCTGGTGGCTGAGTTCCAGGATAAATTTCTAAATTCATGGTGTAAAATGTTTTTGCATCTACCAGGGCATATATTTTTATACCATATTTGGAAGGTTTATTTGGCATATATTGCCGAAAGCTACAACGACCATGAAATGATGCAAGTTGTTCATCAATTGTCATGTATTCAGATGGTGTATAAATTGCTTGACAATTCAAAACAAAGCTTTCAAAAAATGAGCGAATAGCAGCCAAATTGTCTGCGTTTTTTCTTTCTTGGCGGGTCTTTTTGTCATCAAAACGTAGGCAATTTCGAAGGAAAGAGAATCTCTGGAGTGTCATTGTTGTTCTAAAAATCTTAACACCACAGCCATCATTTCTCCATAAATCCTTTAGATTCTCACAATTATAAAGTCCTGCTATATACAACAGACCTATGAAGGCTTTTAGTTCAGATAGTGAGGTGTCATGATAAATATGTTTTTCAGTATTACTATTGTTGCATATAGAACGTTTTAGTTGTATTTCATTATTAGTGTACTTCACAATATCTTGTAGCATATCATCCGTTACAAACAATTTCCAACACTGAATCGCAGTGTTGGCATTCTGTCCAATAGGTTTCACCCCTGGCAAGAACCTAATAACATTTTCTGAACTAGTTCTAACGTCAGATTGTTCAGGTAGATGTGACCATTTTGTACCATTTCTACTAGTCAAATATTTGTCTTCCTCATCTGAATCAAGGCCTTCATTCTCTACTTCTCTATCTGTCATTTCTTGTTCCGTCTCACTGTCGAAACTTCTTTGGCTTACATGATCCAAGTCATCATCAGTAGCCGAATCACCTGATGACTCACTTTCAACCTCCCCCCAAAGTTGTAAAAGGGGATTTTTATGCGACATTGCACTGAATTGGGCTACTTCTACAAGAAAAATCAGAAGAAAACAATAAAACAAGTTATGAATGCACAAAAATATAACATGGAGCATAAAGTGGGTAAAAACTCACCTGTTGATAATTTGGCACACGTGCATACCCCTTGCAGTTCCTCTACTACCAAGTGGGCAAACACAAAGATTGCTTCCTGTACTCCCCCTGGAGCAGCTACCGTGATGTACATCCAGCTCCTCTTCGGCTAAAGTAAATATTTTCATTAGAAAGCTAAGGTCTAGGTGTATTTCATCCAACCTTAAGCACCAAGCGTTTACCGGCCACCCAGAGGAAGGCATTCCTCCTGCTACCAAATAGGGTCAAGCCTCAGCACCTCACCCCCGCGTGACTCCACCTCCACCGCCTTCCCATCTTGCTAATACCACATTTGCAGGGCGTTGGGCGGGACCCCCTCGTATTTGGGGTGCGGGGAGGGGAGACGTGAAGGAGCCCCCAAAGCCTGGTCAGGTGTGCAAACCCCATCCCGGGAGCGCCAGAGCCTAGGGGATGCCCGCACAGGGGCCACGCGTCCCGGCCTCCAACCCAGCCTAAGCCCTCGCCGACGCAGGACGCACAGCCCGGTGAGACACCGATACTCACGCCATGGCTTAACCACTGGGGATTGCCGCTGCAGAGCCTGATGCTGCCGCCGCCGCCGCTTCAAAGGTCAAGGCTGCCGCAGGCACTACTGCCTCTAACGCGCTAAGGTGGCCGCGCCCTGCGCGAGGGCCGAGGAGACACACTGGCTGGCAGAGAGATCTACGTCTGAGCCGCGCCGCGCGGCCCGCCACTGTGCCCCAGCGATGCGCAGCAGCTGCGCCACCGGACCGCAGCGGCCACCTGAGCTTTGCCGCAGGCCCACTCGCTCGCGTCCGTCTACCGCCCCAACTCTCGGCCTTTATGTCCAAGGCGTAGGTATAAAGGGAGAGGAGTTTATCTTCAATGTCTCACGAAAAGAAAAAGGTGCATTATTTTACAGGAGGCCTACGACCAAAGAATCACGTTTCTCCCTGTTCCGCCGTAGAGCCAGAGGGATCTGTCAGACACGCTTCGCTTCCGGTGTCAGTTCCGTGGGCGGGGAAAGTCTTTCATCGCCAGCGTTTTGGTTTTGATTTTTTTTCTTGGCACTGGGGATCTAAGGTTTGCTGGGGTTTTTTTTGGTACCGGCGATCGAACTCGGGTCCTTGCGCTTGCGCAGAAGGCAGCGAAACCACTGAGCTAAATCTCCGGCCCTATCGCCAGGCCAGCGTTTTATTGCGAAGGCCAAGGCCGCTTGGTTATCGCGCGAGACGCAGGAGGGAACGCGCGTCGAGCTCATTGGTCCAAGCGTGGTGAGACCTTATCAGGGACAAGTTCTGGAGGCCTGGAGCAGTGCCGTAACCTGAGAGGTTAAAATCAGGCATGGTGGTGGACGCCTGTCTTCTCAGCATTTTGGGAAGCAGAGGCAAGAGGGTTGCAAGTTCAAGCCCAGCCTGGGCAATTTAGCAAGACTCTAACTCAAACTTTAAAAAAAAAAACACACGCTTGGCGGGGTGGCACACGGCTGTAGTCCCAGCCATCCAGAGGCTGAGGCAGGAGGATCACTGCGAATTCAAGGTCAGCGTGGGATACATAGTGAGTTCAACGACACCCTGAACTATATAGCGAGACTGTCTCATAAATAAATACAAAGACATTCTAGGATATTTCAATACAACCAGTTCAAAATGATGTATTACCCAGAATTGAAGTGTAAAGTCCTTAAAAATGAGTAATAAAATCGAGAGTGTAATCTGTCAATGAAAGTAAATTGGAACCAAAATAAAATTCAGATTTTAAAATAAATAAATAAATAAATAAATAAATAAATAAATAAATAAAATGAAAATACTGGAGTTGTGGCTCAGGGCAAAGACCCTGGATTCAGTACAAGAAAAAAGTTTAAGATTTTTTAAAAACATAAACTCCAATTTCCACATGTTGAAGGCATAAGCCTCTACCCCCTAGCCCTGACACCCCAGCCCTTTAGGCCAAAGCTCTCACAATGACTGCTCTACTCTCTCTACAGAGTGGAGTGCTTACTGCCCTCCAAGCAGAAAAGATACAGAGCAGCTACCCTCCCAATTTGACCAAATTGTAAATAAACTCACTTTCCCATGTTTTATGGGGTTGTTTTGTTTTGTTTTTGCAGTTTGAGGCAGGGTCTCACTTTGTAGCCCAGGCTGGCCTTCAACTATGTAGCCAAAGCTGACCTTGAACTCAAGGCAGTCTTTCTGCCTCAGCCTCCTGAATGCTGGGCTTACAGCCTTGTGCCACCACACTTGGCTTGTTTTATGGGTTT